TGTAAGCAGCCACCCCTGTATAGACCTGCTACATTATTACTGATTCAAAAAACAAACAAAGTAAAGGTTACATCAGGTTACACATAGTAAACTGATCTGGTTTGTAATTATGTCTGCAATGTGTCAAAATAAATACGTATGTAAGTGGCGTAAAGTATAGTATTTCAGCTTGTGCTGAATGAAAGGGGAAACCGCAGAAAATGTTTCTCAATGCTTGAGTAAATGTACTTTTCACCCTGTCACAAGTTTGTGACATAATCAACAGAAGCTGTCGGCATATTTCATCACTCTAAAGGGATCATAAACCATTCCTGTGTATATTTTATCAGCAGGCTCGGCCTTTGGAGGTAATAATCAACCTAACCAGCTGGAGCATTAGTAGTTTCTGTTTTGCAGTGCTTTTTCTGCACAAACAAGTGTATTAAGCTGGGTCAGGATTGAGCAGTCACACTACAGTACACTGTTTCATGAATTATTGCCAATTAACCCTCCATTTCCCACCACCCACACCATACAGTCCCACTAGTATTTGTCTCAAAATGAAAACACATTACAAGTATACACAAAATTACCACAGAAACTTAATTCGGTGTTTATTTAACTGCATATATTTATATATACATAGACATATGTATTTAAGTTACAATATTAATTTATCAAAGCAAACAGGATCATATATAACATTGTACAGTTTTGAAAAACAGCCTCATTGTCAATGTTTGAGTAGCTCTTTATTCCCCCCCCCCCTAAATAGTCCCATGAAAAAACATAACAAAGTTAAAATTCTGTGCCCTTCATCTGCCCCGAAGTCATCATCTTCTTCTTGTTCTTCCTGGCTTTGTAGGAGAAGAAGAGCCAGGTGACAGCTGAACCAATCAGAAGGCCAACAACCGCCAGCACAGCAGCGAGCCATGCTTGCACAGTGTTAGGGCACTTTGGATTGCCCGAGGCTTGTGGTGTGATGTCAGTTATGGGTGGTGTGGCTGTGACTGCAGGAGCCACACTGTTTATCTTTGTGAAGATGTAAGGATGCTCCTGGAACATATAAATAGGATGTCAAAGTTCAATTCCATAAACCTGTAAAAAAATACTGCAATAAGAAGTGCTTCTGCAGCTGATTCCTTACCTCAGTGGGACACTTGATTCTGTCTCTGCCATTTGAAAAGGCGTTATACGTCTGTTTTTCCCCAACTGGTTCCATCTAGAGACAAAACCACAAATGCATGTCTGTTTAGCATAAATTGCAGGGAGATGTTGTAATTATAAAGGCAAACAGTTATCCCTTTACTACCCACATTAAAAGACTCACCATGTTATTCCACACAGCTACAGCCATGTCAGCATGTCCCCGTTCACTGAAGTGGAAACAGTCCTGGGAGAAGTATGTGACATCAGGTTGGCCTTCCTGCACGAGGGAAAACACACAATCATCCCTGTTTGTGGGTAAAATGCATCCTGAGCACTGACAGACGTGTTACTGTCCGCAAACTAAATGTTTACATATAAATACATGTAGAGCGTAGTGGAGGGTGATGCGCACACGGAAGACTTACAGCATTGAAAGGTAAGATGGTGCTTTTAAAAAAAGGCTGGAGAACCACAGCAAAATCCTCCTTGTCGTCATAGCGACCTCCATCCAACAATTTTTCGGTTTCAGTCTGGCAGTAACAGATGGCTGATGTTATTAAGGTAATGTAACAATCCTGATTCATCAACACTTGTTCAGAATCAAACATTTTACTATCAAGGCTCCAGCCTGCTAACCTGGTATTCCCGATTGATTCGTTTTGCTTCTGCCAGCTCTGGTGAATTCTCTCCCGGGTCCAAGAAGCATCGGCAGACAAACCTGGGGATACACAGGGAAAAAGTCACTGATTTGTTATTCATTCTGGTATGAGGCAGTTGTGTCATACAATACAAATTATATCTGATATTCTAGTTTTTCTCAATAGACAGTGCAATGAAGAGGAGGGGATCTACAGGAAAGGGCCTCAGGTCGGAGAACCTCGGCTGTTGTATTTAGCCTTACAGCATATAGTCGCTTGCTCAATCTATCACCTAGACCTGATGTCTTATGACAGATTCCCTAGATATAGACGAGAAGTGATTTAGACTGCCTTGTAATCAATGGTCTTATTCATGAAAAGTTGCTTAGATTGATGAACATACTGTTGCACCACATTGCACCCTAGGGTGTCCTTATTGATCTTGCGAAGACCTTCAATTTCCAGGATCCCCAGCACGTTCACAATCGTCCTGGGAACCTACAATTAAAAAAAAAAATCATAGAAGAGTGGAGCTAAAAAACTGGATGAACCCAAATATTTTTTTGGTTCAGAATCTCTTAAAGGTATCTTCACTTATGAGCTTACTATATAATATTATTCTTTTTACATCAATAAAAATAGTCTCACCTCATTGTACAGCATGTCCAAGCTTGTCATCATATGATAGCTGTAGTTCTTAGGTGAGTACATGGCCTGTAGTTTGGAGAGATGCAATCAATAAGGCTATTTATTAACACATGAACTTAGTTCAGTTCAGCCACGACTTTTTGCCCCACCCACCACACCCCATTAGTGTTTTCTTTTCTTTTTGTTGTAGCCAGCAGCATAATTAAGGCAGATATGAGGGGAATGTGGCCAAGTTTGAACCCACCAAGAGAGAGCCATGCAACATGTAAGAGCGCACTAGCAACAACTAACCCTAAGCTGTCACTACAGTCTCAGAGCTCATCTTAAATTGATGCTGCACTTTGATATTCTGCTTCAAAGCACAAACATTAAAAGAGAGACTACCCTGACAGTGGAGCTTGAGGGGTGTAATGGGAGAGGGGGTGTGGGGTGGGTTTAAAATGAGAAAGGAAAAAGCGGGAGCGAGCAAGACAGAGACAGGAGGAAGAAGAGAGTCTCGGTTGACTTCTGTGTTGTTTATGCCTCTTAGAGAACAAGGCCTGTCACTGTGTTCTGTGTGCTTGTTCAACGCAGACATAGGCCGGGGTAGAGGAGGGAGGGGGTGATCTGTGTTGCAGGGCTAAAGCGACAGAATGTGCTTATTGAAAACAAACCATGTCTGCTCTCATCCCTGTCTGACACAATAAAACAATAAACGGGGGGTGCTCACAAGGCTTAATTATTCTGCTCCAGTGCTTAGTTCCATTTGGGGAGTGATGATATCTCGAGAGGGCGTTTAACACCACTGGATGTTTAAGCACTACACTTGCAGAGGGAAATAATTTTTTCCCTTCAAAAATGCCCTTCAAACCACATTTCCTGTGACGACTTCTTAAAGCAACTCACCCGATCGTTGCAGTATTGACACAGGTCATTCCCTCCGATGAAGAGGGTCACAAGCTTCCAGTCGTTCTCAAAATCCACGGCCTAGTTTGATTGGTGGTGACAGATTCAGAGAGACAGGTTTAATTACATGTGTTTTCCCGCAGAAAACGTGGCAAGGCTTGAGACAAGGCTACATTAAAAATCACTTGGTAATGCATGTTAAACTCACTGGGTCCTCTTTCATGGCATCAATAAGGCTTCTGACCTGTGCAGGGATTTGTCTGCATGGAATTGCACATAATTAGCCCATGCAATGCTTCCAAGATAGCATAGTAATAAAGCCATTTATATA